GCTGGCCCTTCCTGATGTTTTCTTGACTGGAAGGGGGAGAAGAGGGCATGGAGAGATATCTGATTTGCCAGGAAATCTACATACCTCACAGCTGCCTTTCTCGTACCCCATTCCAGAATCGGGGTGTGCTGGTGGGAGCGTACTGCCCACATGTACATCAGTAGCCATGCACACCAGGGAGTCATAAACCTTTGCAAATGTCGGTCTGTTGGCTCAAAGGCCAACAGGGAGAATGTGCACTTCCCCATCAGCTGAATTTTTTTGTGGTTCATTTAGAACATGAAATTAAGAGGGAACAGGAAAAAATATGCTATTCTACTAGTAGTGTTACTGGTAATTTTAAAATTCTAGTTCCTTTAAAAATCCTCTTATACATTTTTTGAAAGCTATGGCTTCTCATTCACATTGTGAGCTGTTTTTAAGTTTTTAAATTTTCAACATATATATGTATATATGAAATCATTTTCAACATACACAAAAGCAGAAATAGTTCACAGAGCTTATACCCTTCACTGAGTTCCCCAATTGTTGACATTTCTGAGCCATTTGGGAATAACTTGGGGACATGATTTCTCCTTACATCTCAATACTTCATTCAGTGTATATTTTCTAAGTACAAGGACACCCTCCTACATATTACGTCATAACCATCATGTTTAAATACTTAAAGTGAATTTTTATAACACCATTTTTCCTGTTTAAAAAAAATACAGGGAGAACTTATTTTAATGCAGTAGATAGGACTGATACTTGCTAGTGCATGTTAAATAGTTTCATTTCTTTCGTCAAGTATTTGGTGAATGCCTACTCTGTGACAGGCACAGTTTTATGCACTGGGGAAACAAAGATAAGGTGTGTACTCTTATTAGCTTACACTCTAAAGAGGGAGACAGAAGATATCAGATGGTGATAAGTTTATGCTGAAAATTAAAATGAAGTGATAAGATAGTGAGAATGCCAGGTGGCTACTTTAGGTGGAGTGGGCAGGCAAGGTATCTCTGAAAAGATATTTAAGCTCAGATCTGAATGACAGGAAGGAGCCAGCATGGAAAGGCCATGTTCACTCACGTGGTAATTTGAGCTGCTTTATCTTCTTAAAGGTGCTTATTTCCAGTGACTTCCCACAATATTAAGGATCTGTAAGCCAATACATTTGCATCAAAACAGCTACCAGTGAATCCTTTTGTACAATGTGTTGTTCTGTGGTGAAAATTTCTATCTACTAATTTCTCTGATAAATTCAAACTTTGTATCTAGGTTTCCTAGGATCACCACTGTGATACTTTAATATATATCAAACTGATCATTTTTGCACTCTTTTGTGTTCACGCCAGTGGTTCTTCTGTTTTGTGGAACCACTTATCTTCCACGTGAATAGTGTGTCCCACGGCGTATTTATTCTTAGGTTTTGCTTTTTTTCACGGACATTCTCTTTTGCATGTTTCAGGCAGCAGCAACAGCAACAACAGCAGCAGCAGCCACAGCAGCAGGAAGAGGAGCCACCAGGACAGCTCTCACACCCGTGTGAAACGCTGACCACAAGTTCAAGAGCACTTGGCAATGAGCTAGGTACGCCTCCGACCACGCACCATGGTTGTTACCTGCATACACTGTTCGACACACAGGTTCTGTGTGATTTGGGTTTTATAGGCTTTTTTCTTCTCTTTCATTGTATTGAAACTCTTAAATGAATTTGTAATCTACTAAATTTCTATAGATTAAGGAGCAGACAGACTAGAGCACTCAGTGACTGTGTTGCCTAAATATTATAAATAATACTTGCAACTTCACAGTCACTAGTACATTCTACAAAAGTTTCTCAGAGATCACGAATATTAGTAGGTGGAAAAGAAGTACATTTTACCACCTGGAATACTAAAAACACCTGAGTGTAGTCTAAATATCAACAGGAAGTCTGGAGTTACATATCAGGCCTTGGTTTCATATGTCTTAAACGTTAGCCAATTATTGGTAGTAGAAGTTGAGTGAAAAAGAAGTATATGACAAAGGACTTATAAGCAGAATATGTAAAATTCATCAAAACAAATGAGAAAACAGCTCAAAAAAAAATGAACAAAGGCAGGGCCAGCCGAGTGGCTCAGTTGGTTAAGAGCTCGCTCAAGAGTGCAAGCTCTCTGGGCTGGCTGAGTGGCGCGATGGTTAAGAACTGACTTGGGACGCCAGAGGACCCCGGTTCNAAAAAAAAAAAAAAAAAAAAAAAAGAATGGAATTGGCCTTCGATTGTGCTTCTTGGTTACCTAACCTTGCAAAATTCTTTTGTCAATTAATAGGAAAAACAGCCTATCACAATGCCACTGATAACCATGCAGATGTATTAGTCAGCCTTGTACTATTTTAACAGGAAAAACAGCATACTCCCAAATAGAGGTGGTGAATACTCTGCTCGTTGCCACTTTAATGGGGGTACCACAGGCCTGTTAGCATAAGGGATACGAGGGCAGGCCGTAAATCTGAATCATCAGCTCCTAAAATCTAACTTTGTGTCCAGCTTTGTAAGTGCTATCAGAATAGAAATTTCACTCCATAAAAGACCATCCTTTCCAGTAACTACCATTCACAAGTCGTCTTCCCTTTTTCTTTTTTTAATGATAAAAATCCATCTTAAAGATTGCAAGATCTATGATAGATGTTAAGATCCTCTGATCCCAGATCACAAACCAAAAGGCCAGTGGCTGAATCTGGCCTGTGAATTTACTGTATTTCATCAGTTCTAAGATTCACGTGTTTCTCACATTTCAGTATCTTTTTAACTGAGAAGCATCTTACAGTCATAATTGGCAGTATTTTAGCGATATCTAACATATTGGAGCATTTTACATTTGGTGGTGTAATGAAGATAATATTTACCTTGTTTTCTGTTTTGTTTTGTTTTGAAGTCACAACTCAGAAGTATATGAAGGAAAGTTCTGATCATCTGACATCCTCTTAATGTGAGATATTTCTAGTCTTTATTCAGTGATAGATTAACAGATTTAATTATATATACATTTTCAAAATAGTGCTTATCAGTGCTTTTCACTTCCTTTTAAATTTTAAAATTAACTTTTTAAATTTTTTAATTATGAAAATCTATATAAACCTCAAGTTTATATAAAAGTAGAGAAACCAACGTAGTGAACCCCTATTTACCTGTTGTCCAGATTTAATAAATGTCAGCACGTGGCCAGACCTGGATTTTTATGTCCCTGCTCCCACGCTGTTCATTGCTCCATCCCCAAGCTGAGAAGATTTTGCAGCAAATCTAAAAGCATCATATATCATTCCAGCCGTGTTTATTTTGATATATAGCTCTAAAATTATGGGCTTTTTAAAAACATAGCAAAATGCTATTATTACAGTAATGTTAATAATTATCGCATGATAATTATTAATGGTAATTCCATAATATCATCAAATATCTAGTTAGTGTTAAAAACTCAAAACTACTTAATTAGATAAAAACTAATATCTGAAAAAATTTAAGACATACCAAAAATTAAAGTGTAATTCTACTATCTTTTAGTAACCGATATTAGCATTTTGGCACATTTTCTTCTAGTCACAAAGACATACGTATAGACTAGTTATACCCATTTTCCCATGATAGTAAATATTCTTTGTAAGTAGGCTATATGATATTTCATAAAATGAATGTGTCATAATGTGTTTTGATTTCTGTTATTATAATTAGTAGTACAATGAATATTCCTTGTACTGACTCTGCCTCAAATTTCTCGTCATTTCTTCCAATTATTCTTAGGACGTCAGATTATTGGGTTTAGGGACATGAATGTTTTTGAGGCCTTGGTTACAGATTTCTAAACTGCATTGTAGAACAATTCCCAAGTGATACTTTTACCATGTTTTTTTAAGACTTTGTTTTTGCCAGATTAAGATTGTCCAAATAGACATACTTTATAGCGAAACTACAAAATTCATAAATGAGTCTAAGAAGAAGAAAACACCTTTAAGTATAAAAACAAATCCCTCTTTTATTTAAACATTTTTTTCTTCAGATTAAAAATGTGGAACTTCCAGTATGTTAAACTTTTTATAGTAGAAAGAATAGCGCGGTAACATTCCATAGTGAGTAAGTTATAACAAGCACAGTGCCAGTGATAACTAATGCAGATGTTTTAGTCAATCTTGTACTCTTTCAAAATGTTTGAGCATTGTTCTGGCTCCTTCCTGGTTGGAGGGTCGTTGATTGGGAAGGAAGGTGCACTCTCATGGTTTTCAGCTTCAGCTTTTCATCTGCCTCCTACTTTGATCTTAAAAATATTGTGGGAACTTAGGGAGAACGATAGAATATTAAAGAGCCATATGCTGCTGAGAAGAGTTAAGAGCTCACTTCTTGGTGTTTCTTTTCAACATGGACTAGCATTCAAAATCTTGTAGGATGCATTCATAAAGGAGAAATATTTGCCTGTCACCAGGATTTCTGATTACTTAGCCTAGTCGGTCCTTGTCTCTCTAGCATCCATCTTTGGAAACTTGGCTCTAACGTTGTTGAGTTAGCTCTATCTTCCTTCCCACCCTCTCCAAACTGACCCTGGTGCTAACTTGTTAGTCATTCACATTCAAATTTATGAAGCTGTTTTTTTTTTTCTTGTAAAGTACTTGTATTGTGGTTACTACCTAACGTAGTAACCACAGTGTTCCTGCATGAAGCAGAAAAATACTGTTAAAAATCTACCTGTTATAGACTCATAGGTTATGTGTAAGAGTTGTTCATTATTTTCATAGCCATGATATTTTTTTCCGGGAGTAGTGTCTACATCCATTTTACCTATCATAAAACCCCAAGTCAAATGTTATTATATCAGCTATGTCACTGTAAAACCAGCTTTCACTCACTTGTGATGAGCATCAAATCAAGCAAGGTGTGTAAAACTATTTTGTAAACTATAAAGTGTTCCATAGATAGTTATAAGCATTATTAATGTCTTCGCCAGGTGTAAGTTTGAAATGATGCAGATTCTTTCCTTCTGTCATAAAAAAAAAAAAGCATTTCCCACCAAGGAGGGAAACATACTGTTTTCATGGTCATGGATTGCTAGGATTCTTTGATTGTCTAATACTTGAGCCACCACTTCAGTGACATGGCATAGTTTATCAGGGTTCAGTTTAAGAAATGTAAACTACTAGGGGTGTTTTCAGCAGAAAAGTATGTAACACAGAAATTAAGGCAATCTTAGGAAGAGCTGGAATGCAGGCTGTGAGCCAGGCCTCCAGAATTCCATCCAGCTTGTTTGAAGAGCTGTGACCACTGCCTCAGTTGGGATGATTGGGAGTCAGGAAATCAGGTTTAAGAACATACTGCTATAGCTATGATCCTAGGATCGAGCAACACTTGCCTGGACATGAAGACATGGGAATGTGGCATCTGGCCCCCACTGCAACTGCCATGAAGCACAATTCCGGGACTGCCATCTCCATGGCTTTACTTGCTGGCAGAGAACAGCCAAAGCAGGATGATGGCTGTGCTTCATTTCTGCCTTTTAAATCTCATGGGAGTGCTTAATTGGCTCCCAGAATCCTAGCTATAGGGCAGTTTAAGACATGCAGTTTTTAGCTTCACAGCCACTATGATATTGATGGCACATTAGAAGGCACAGTGGGAATGGATGCTGAGTGCTTTTCGAACATGTCCTATCTTATAGTGTCATCACATATGAGAGATGTCAAAATTGTTTCAAGGTTGGAAATTCATTTTTCACTTTTCATGAATTTAAAGTAGAATAAAAATTACCCCTCTAAAGTCGCTGTCTTACCTACCACTCCTTTGCATCCTGATGTTTTCTTTTTCTTTTTTTTTAAAGATTTTTATTGGGGAATTGGGGGATGGGAACAGCGCTGGGGAATCGGGGGGAGGGGAACAGACAAGCTGCCGTCCCTTTGTTCCTCAGTCCAGTTGTGGAGGACGCCGCCCCACTGGCCCAAGTTGGCACCATCATTGCGCTCCTCCCAGGCAAGGCAGATCAGTCGCCAGCCTCTGGACTGCCGCTCACGGCGGCTGCTGGCCACTCACGCTGGCTGCCGGCCACACACAGCAGCCCATGACAACCCACTGCAG